CTTAATCTGACCAACTATATTAGATAAGAGAGAAGTTTTCAAAGCTGTTTACTACAAATAATCGTAAATAGGGGTAGTCGAGTCATTTTCATAGACTTGCTTCACACTATAGAACAAAACATATGTTTACATGCCAGTTCAAAACAATAGCAAGTAAGCCTCTGAGCACATATCGGATTTAAAGCTTATTAAAACATAACAAACACTTTCAAATGAAACGAATATTCAGATAATTTGATCCAAAATAAGACGATAAAAAGGACGAAAGTATGGATTATTCCTACATGTGTAGCAGCAAAAGACTGCTATTCACCAACTTTCCAACGGATAGCGATGACGTACCTGGAAATGGTCACAAAAGAAGGAACTTCATGATAGCATTTTGCAGACTATCATCCCAAATCCTATAACCACATTTGAAAAATAGAGCAGATAATACGTTTATAGCAATATGCAGTGATCAATTCAACTAATCCTGTTATCATGTCAGCCGTCGAGAAAAACATTAAGAGAACTTTCCCATCACTGGGAAAAGAACATCTATAAGTGTGTGATAAAATCGTAATCAAACAAGACCATAAGTCCTATGCATTCCAACCCAAAATATACTAGCCAAAGGGTATATATATAAATAATAACTGGTAGAATGCTTGCCAGACACTTAGGTGGTCCAGGGTTCGATCATCGGCCGACGCACTCCTTTACCTCGCTTAGCTGGCAATGAGCCTGGCAAAGAAGGAATGTTGGGCGTGGGACTAGCAATCCTACCCCGTAATAATAAAACCACTGGTAACGAAACTTCACAGCTCTAGCTTGAGGCCATATGTTCCACTGGGAAAGCAAAGGAATAAAAAAACTCGGTTTCACATTCTTCTGATGATCTAATTAACACAATGAATCTCAATTCATGCTCACATACTATTTCAAACAAGTTTTTACCTACAACTAGGAATTCCGCGAAGGAAATGGAGGAAGGACACTGTGAAGTAGTAATGGAGCAAGGTTTGGGTGGAACAATATTGCTTCAGTGGATATATTATAGATTATTATATTATTTGAAGATTATGCATAAAGAGTATACACGCTGCAATGAAACTCGCTGAAAATTCGTTATTCTGTATAAACGCACTTTTCAGAATAAAGCTATTAGTATTATTATTATTGTTAATACTATTACTGTACTCAAATAACCTGGATACTCCTTGCATTAAATACTACTCTTTCTCTTCTTACATTACTCCTAATATTCAGCAATTAGTATAATACTTTTAGTTCCTGTAGTACTAACTTCTTAGTAGTCAATTACATTGCTGTAATTAATAGCTGTCTAAATATTCATTGTTCATTTTTATTTTGTAATTGCACAAAATTATGCCGCATACAACGTCATGCATCTTTTGAAGTCATTAGTCAGTCAAACTGTACAGGGAATAATTCGTCTTGAAACTCATAAAACTACAGGATATATACAGGCTGAGCAATATAAAAGAAAAAATGTAGAGCTCAGTGAGACTGAGACGTAAAAATATTTTAGTCTTCGGAAACTGTGTCCATTCAATTTAGCTGATATTTACCAAAATTGTAAGGCATATATAGTACAAGGGAAATAATTTTTTTCATTATAGCTTGACTCCATACAGTATTTCTGATACAAGTAAGGAATTTTCAGCATGTGATATCAGTAGCCCAAATTTAGCAGGCCGACCATTGATATTGGGTGTGCGTCTGCCGGGGATCGAACCCCGGATCATGTGCATGGTCGACGAGCGTCCTAACCGCCATGCCACCGACGCAATTACTCGTTAATCAAGGACACAACAGCACATCAACGTTCACAACAAAAATAACCTGTATGTACAGCAAGAGCAGTGCTGAAGAATTCTAAAACCATCTATGATTGACTTTTATTTGTCGTCAAACTTGACTAAAATGTGCCTCCAGATACGACACTATTACCAACACTTGAAAATATTCGCCTACATTGAGATAGAAACACAAAAGTCACCTACAACAGCAGCGACAACGTTTTATTCAAAATACAGAGTATATGTATATAGTTCCCAAATCCTCGAAAATTTAAGCCATAAATAAACCAATCAAAAACTATCCAATCAGATTATCATGTCAGTGCATGCATATGAATCATGATTTCTCGGCTAACAATGATAGGTTGTTCGTCCTAATACAATTATCAATTTTTAAAAAATGTTAGTGTACTTCAATGCTACTACTATTACAACTGCCACATTCCTCTTCAGTCTGCCTCAGTAATTTACTTCCCGTTTTCTTTAATTTTTATTCTTTGAATTTTGATTAACAACACTGAAAGGTCTAAACTTTTAGATGTGTTTTGTTAACAGTTAACCAATCAGATGCATTTACTCGAAGTTATTATAACAGGCATTTAACGAAGAAGAAGAAACAAAAAACAGCAACGAAAATTAAGCAGACAAGTATAGGCAAATAAAAACCTACTGTTGTAGCCAGGCTTCTTCTGGTTCAACGTATTCATCCGCGCGTGTTTCAATTATGCTACGCTTAGACTTAATGCAGCGTGGAAAGTAAACAGAAAAATATTAAAGAAAAAAAGAAAAACACTCATATGAAATAATGTGATTTATGAAGTGTCTTATTTAAACAACAACAATAACAACACCAATGAAAATAACAAAATTATCATTGCAAACAAATTAATCGATGAAAACAACAGTGGCTGCTTTCAAAATCTAAGTGAAGTTGAACGTAAAGTTTTTAATGTCCCGTTTTAAAAATTCCTCATAAATCGTACATAGAAAAGTAAAGGATGATGATTCTACTCTTCTTCTGAATTGACAAAGTCGTACAATATTGAAATGAGAAGTGTTCAGATGGTTCGGTTTTCTTTTTTTTCATTCCTATGCATTCTGAGTGGAACAAAGGGGTTCGTAAACTTTGGAGTTTCAGTAGCGTTAGTGTTGTTCACAGGAATTCGGGTTGCTAATCTTTCGGCCAACCTTCCGTTTTTACCAGGCTCAATACTGGCTAAGCGTCAGCCGGGAATCGAACCCACGCGTCCGACAGGTACACCAGGTGGATTAATGAGGGTGAGTATTTTTCAGTAATTAATTTATCAGTAAAAAAAGAAAGAAAGCTATTTTCACATCTGTAAACTAATATAACGCAAACATTTCTGGAGGCATATTTGACTGAAGAAAACAGTTAAGGTATTGCAAAAACTAGGCCATCATAGATGCTAAAAATAATAGTGGGCTAAATATTCTACACGATATTTATTTTCTTCAAAATCTGAGTAGCCTTCTCTTCAATTTATGTGACTGTAATTCATCTTGATATTTTCTTTTCGAAAACCTTATATTATCGGATAGAACAAATAAGAGTTTAATGATACATTTTAGTGAAAGAGTAAGAACCACAAGGATACTATATCTGATCTCTCATCCACCGAAGCACCCCAACCAACTTTAAATTAATTTCATGCTGGTTTAGAGTAATCCCATTGTCAACGACTGGTATCTCATTAGTAAACTTTTAAACAGATTGGGAATTGCCATAAAAAGCGATTCCTATGAATCCTGGGATGTTTACCAGATAAATGGGATTGGATTACTTTACTGATTAAGACAAAGATGTGTTAGTTGGCATGGATCTAACTGACTTCAGTGTTAGGGAACCACTGAAAACCAGAGAGTACTGGGCAGTTGTTCTGTCCTAGTTTGAGACTCTTCATCAGCACACACTCATGACTCCACGTGGGATCGGACTCAAGACCTTCAGGTTACAAGGCAAGTTCACTGGTGTTTTCAGGTGCTTTCTGATAATGTTGGCTGGTGGTGGTGGTGCTATAAATCACCAACTATCAGAATGTAGAATTCATGGATCATTGGATTCCGTCACAGTGGCTGAATGGTCAACGAGTTCGCCTCGTAACCTGAAGATCTCAGATTCGACCCCTCGTGGGGTCCCAAACTAGAACGAAACAGCTATCCAGTACTCCTTAGTCCTCTGACTGAAGTCACTTTATGATCATATCTAAGACAAAGAACTCTGCATTTTATATTATGAAATTATTACAGGTTACAATGTAAACAGAATTTCCTTCAAAAAAAAGAGATCATCACATTTAAACTATTTTTTCTTCATTGCTTCACGTTGAGACTCCAGTTAATGAAAATAAACCAAAATGACAATAAAAGCTGAATACTGTTCAGTCAAAGCAATCAATATTTTCCGTAGTCAAAGTAAATATCTTTAGAACAATAATTCATTGCATTTCAACATTTTCTAACTGAACTTTTGTCTTTTATGCATCCTTTTGTCACCTGTTCTCACTACATAAATTCTACCAATGCCTTTTATTTATGCTGCGAGTACGCGTGTGTGTGAATTTTATAAAACTTTGTTGTCATATTCATCAATGATCATCTTTTTTTTCTTTATCAAATGTAACATAACGACAAACGGGATAAGAAGATCTAAACGGACAGCCAATGTAATGATGAACGAACTGATTTCTTTTATTCCTTTGCGTTCCCAGTGGAACACATGGCTTCAAGCTAGAGCTTTGAAGTTTCGGCAGTAGTGGTGTTTATTTTTACGGGGTGGGGTTGCTAACTTCACGCACAACCTTCCCTCCTTAGCAGACTTACTGCCGGCTTAGCGAGGTTTAGGAGCGCGTCATCCCAGGATCGAACCTCGGACCATATGAGGCGTGATTGACGAGCGTTCTGCCACTGAACCAGCAATCCACACAAAGGGACAGCGCTCTCGAGTGCTTGTGCCACAGGATGATACTGCATTCTAGTCTTGTCTCGCAGGAGGTAGGGATAGGTACGTTTGGTTCTACTGAAAACTTAAATACTTCAGATAATATATATATATATATATGAAATCAACCTACCAATGAATAACCTCTTTGAATTAAATTTTCAGCTGATCCATACTCCACTAAGCTACGCTGCACAGCCATTTGAACCATTTGTTCTTCATCATATAAAGCTCCATAATGTCCTGGAGAATTTTCAACTGAAACAAGGATTATATTTAAACAGTGACTGTAATAAAGTGAAGCAAGAAATATATAAAGAGCAAAACATACAAAAAACATTCTAACAACATTTGATTGATAAGTGTCCTCCTCTATCTCCACGTCTATATGCATCATTAATACCAACAATGAGGAAACCGACGAAAAAAACTTGTTTCTGTGAAGAGAAAACTTGCAGAAAGGTTTGACCGGTTTTTACCATTTATGAGAAAGGAGAAAATCAATACTTACATTTCTTATAGAAACACATTTCCACTTTATCTGAAATCATATTTCATTGAGTTAAAGTTTTTTATTGATTTATGTTCGGGATATTGAATTGAATTCACTTACAATTCATTATTAACGTGCACTTTGGCGCAGTTAAAAGTCGACGGATATCCAGCCTTCTCATGTTGACTCCAGCTGTGTATACAAATTTACGTATATCTGTGGGAGCAGTTACATTGAGAGAATAGAAAGAAAGGCACACCTCCCACTTTTTTAAACATGTACCGGAAAGCCAACGTTTCAAGGGAACAAACGCTTACAATAGTGCCATTAACAGGCATCTCCTTGATACGGGTCATGCAGTGGAAATCACAAATTCCTTTAAAATTATCAATAGAAGAAATAGTTCAATCCCCCTTAAGTTTGCAGAAGCAATCTCTATCAAACGCCTGAAACCCAATTTATGTGTTCAGAAAGAAGCAGTTCTCAGTTTCCCCTTGCCTTGATAACTCGATGTCATTATTGTCTCCTTCATTTGCTTACATTATCTTCGCCTTGCACTGCACCGCTTTGATAAAGTGTAATTTTACTTGTCTCTTGTTTCTATGGTTTGAGTTGGACTCAGTACATTGTTGCCTAATTTATTAGTTACTCATCATCTTACGCACCTCTCGTCTTCATTACGTAACTCCCTTACCATGGTATGCATACCTTTCCTTTGTTTAAACTAAAACTCCCTGTGTAGAAGCTATATAAGCTTAATTTTCTGAGCACTGTTCGCTAAGTTCGGGACCCTTTGTCAGCTGACATCATGTGAAATTTGCAAATATGTCAAAACTTTTCTGTACATAATTTTAATAATAAATTTATTTAGGCTGTTGGGAACTGATAAGAAGCCAACGAAATAAATGATGGTAGCATATTATTCTGCCCATACCGCTGTTGTTCTCGCTTTATTCAAATTCATAAAGGGGATAAATGTATGAAGTAATTATTAAAATATAGTTAGCATCCTTACACAGTTAAACTAAATGGCTTCTTAAAAATCAGTGATGCAATACCATTATTGTGAGCTTTAATTACCACAACTTCCTGATGGAGGATGAAATACGCTCGATTGATTAAATTAAGACAAGAGAAAAGATTGTATGCAATGATGTGAAAGTATTTATTAGAGTTAAATGAAGAAAATGTGTTATAGCTAACACGAGATATTTAGTGTTAACAACCAAATAGTAGTTAGGATTATATTTACTATAGTCGATGAATTGAATAAAAAGCATAAGACTATCTAGAAAAGCGATAAACAAACATTCATTCCACTTACACCATAGACGTAAGTATAATGGTAATAACAGGCGATTAGTCAGTTACAATAGAATTGTTATTGCATAAGTATGAAAGTAGCATGAAATGAAGCATATGAAACGCTGTTTACTTTCCAGTCAAACCATACACATAATATTAGACTCACATTTATAAAAGGAATTTCAGAATGATACGTTATATGTTTAAGATGCAAAACAGAATTAGAAAAAAGGGAAACTTCTTGTATTCCTTTAATTTCTATTTCTATGTAAAAATGTTTGCTTACTGAGGATGGCATTTGAGGTAGACTTTATTACGAAAAGACGTCAACTGAATGAAAACCAATGGAAATCAAGCAGGAGTGATTGGATTCATTGTTTCAGCTTAGTTTGAAACGAGTCAACAATATGTTCATCCACGAATATATATATAAATATGCTCACTCATTCCATAACTTGATGTAGTTGTGTTCTTTGAGGTAGAGGGTTCATTTGCGAGGCTCCGATCACTGCCTGATTAGGCAACATCTTCAGCGCATACTTCAATTTGCTGAAGTGAGCTTTTTGATTTCTCCATGAGTTTAGTAGTCATCTCTCCTGGTGGATGACGTTGAAAGTGATTGGTTGCTTTTGTGTTTTCACACCCTCTAGGCTACTTATATTCGTATTGGTGTTGATTGTTTCCTTGATCTGAAGTTTGACGCTTTGTGTGTGAAATTTCCTTCTTAATGATTGGTGAATTTTGTCTATGTCAATGTGTCTATTGATTGACGATTCACTGGAATATCAGGCTTCTAAAAATTCTCTGGCATTCTTAGAGTTTCCTTTGTCTAATATTTGAATGCTGGTTGTCTCAGTCGAAGTGAAGTCTATGGTTGTCTGCATGCAATGAGGTGATGTGAGGGAGCGGATGTCATTTCTTTTGACGGCTAATTTATGATCATGGATACAAAGACGAAGGGGACGTCCACTTTGGCCAATGTAGTGATGTTCGCAGTAGTTGCAACGACTTCGTCTTTGCCAAAGAATTTTTGGAAGCCTGATATTTCAGTGAATCGTCAATCGATAGACACACTGACATAGACAAATTTTACCAATCGAGAAGAAGGAATTCTCGCACACAAAGCGTCAAACTTCAGATCAAGGAAACAATCAGTACCAATGCAAGTAGCCTAGAGGGTATTAAAACACACAAAAACAACCAATCACGCTCAAGGTCATCCATCAGGAGAGATGACTAATAAACTCGTGGAGAAATCTGAAAGCTCACTTCAACAAATTGAAGTATACGCTGAAGATGTTGCCTAGTCAGGCAGTTATGAAAGCTTCGCAAATAAACCGTCCAGTTCAGAAAACACAAGTACATCAAAATCATCCACCTGAACTACACATTTTCTTCATCATATCTAAATAAAATACATCTTCATAATTTGTTCTGACGAGATAATCACGGATTGTCTAGTTGACGACAATTCATAATGAAATCTACTTTTTTTATATTAGAAATCAGATGTGTTAATTTTAGATGCGAAATATTTGGTTATTCTTTGTGTGTTCTACTTTAATAATTGATGAGTTATATGTAAAAACAAAAAGAAAGAAAAAAAGTGGATGGCTCACCTGTAGACACTGTTGAAAAACAAATCTGTATATAATCAATATGCAGTTTAATGATATCTCAAAAATGTGCATGAGAAATAAACAAAATAATCTTCTTTAAAACAAAAAAGAGATGATAGTAATCGATCACTTAAACAAGGCTTCTTTTTTGTTCATTTTTCAGTATAACTTACTCACCTATGACATGATACCCTTTACCAACATCGAATACACTTTCGTCTATGACACATTTCACCGGTTGTGATGATGAACCAGACTCTGTCGATGAATCAAGTAATGGTTGATTACCAGGATCATCAGACGATGATGCTGCTGTTGACGATTTAGCAGTACTGGATACATCTGTTTTCTTGTGTGGATCTGATGTTTGTTGACTAGGATTACTACCACCAGTAGGTACTACTGAGACACCATAGACACTGTTATCTTGTCCATGTAGATTACCAAATGAGACACATGCATTCAACACGTGATATAATGGGATTTCTATTAAAAAAAAATTAAAGAGATAGATTAGAACCATTTAACTCTCATATGAGTACTGCTCACTTATAATCAATGGTGCATTGACCATAAAAATATCAGAAACTGAAATATATATATATATATGTCGAATTTCAGATTCATTTACGAACATACAAACAACGCTTAGCGAGGTAAAAATTAATCTATAGTGGCTGTGAAACGTGACGTAAGGTTTCAGTCGACTGTGAAGTGATTATCAGCACTCGTTTCCAAAGTATACAGTCAACTATCAAGAAACTCATATTTCTATCCAAGATTGGAATCTGAACTACTACTCAACGCTGAAATCACTAACTTTGCCAATGAATGATACAGTCGATTCAGTCACCTGGGTATCTGAGTAGACTTTAATATTTTGGCTTTCTCTTTTGCAGTATTGGAAGGCATCGATTTATGAAAAGAAGTTATGTCATTGTAAATGCTCAAATGTTAACGAAAAGCAATTTTTAAAAATGTATTAACAAGTGTATCATGCGTCGGCGGCACAGCGGTAGAATGCTAACCGACCATGCATTTGGTCCGGGGTTCGATCCCCGGCCGGTGCACTCCTATACCTTGCTAAGCCTGTAATAAGAAGGTTGAAGAGGGAAGGTTGGGCATGGCGCCAGCAACCCTGCCTTGTAAAAATAAATACCACTACTACCGAAACTTGAAAGATCTAGCTTGGATCCCTCTGTTTCACTGGGAACGTAAAGGAAATAAAAAACAAGTGTACCGATCCATCCATCCAATCACAATTTTCTCTTTGCGATTTCAGGAAGGTCAGCTGCATTTAGTCTGTTTAGTAGTTTCTTTTAGAATTAAAGCCATCATATAAGTCATTTCCTTATTTCTATTCACCCTACTGAGATGAGGTAATTCCGGAAAAGAAACTCGATAGCAAACTGTTTTTACTGTTAAATTTTGTGCCCTGATTTTGTAAGTGAAAACTATCCCACTGAAAGGAAAGGAGAACAATGAAAATAAGAAACTGAGGAGTTAATCCATTTCCAAGATTCATCACGGACTGACTTCAGCTAGAAAACCACTAGAAGAACAGGAAGTATATAGTTTGGGACTCTATAGTAGCACTCAGTCAGGATCTTCAGCGTTACCAGGTGGACGGGATCAAAAGGCTCATGAATTCTAACTTCTGTGAATTCGCGATATATATATATTTACGTCGCGATGGCCAGTCAATGTTAAAAGTGAGTATTTTCTCCTTAAAGCCAAAATGGCAGACCCGAAGGGAAATTCAGGCAACCTCATCCTACTTTTCAATGGTTCCTCGACTGTAGTCAGTCCGTGATCAATCCTGAAATCCATCAAATCCCTGCAAAGCAATACTTGCAGATTGTATTTTCATTTGTTCCTTGGTGACACCATACAACTACAAAGCATTCGTGTTGGCTAATTTGATTGCACACAAGTAACTAGTGTGATGTGTCTAGTCTTATCTTTGGTGCAGACTGAATTCTATGAGTCAGGTTTGCAATGTGCCCACCATTCTAGGTAGCTCGCCATCAAAGTATCCACTACAGTAGTCCTACAGGAGATCAATCGCGAGCCGAAATAGCTCAGTGGTAACCTTCCTGACTGCAGGACTGGGTGACTCGGGTTCGAGTCTCAGAAGGAACATGAGTTCCTTCAAGGTTGCAAATATGCCTGCCTTGCTGACTGGTGAGTGCCAACTAGCACGAAACCTAGGCCGGGGGCTTCCTGCCGATTGCCTCCAACCATGTAATATCATTCGTGTTGACTGCTTGACTTTTTCAATGTCATTCTTTCATTTATAATATTCACAATTCATCTCTGGAAATTGTCAATGGATGTATCAATTCATACTTTTAAGCCTCCTAATCATATTCTAAGGCAAATTAATTAAAACTACTGATAGATTAGTAACATGTATCACAATTAACAGAGGTCTCTACTAGGGGTGTTATCATGTAGCATAACACATCCAACTGTTATGCGTTCATATTTATGGTATTTAATATTTCAGAAAGTGTACGAAATAAGATACTTGAAAACCGACTGAATGTTCGAGTTCTCTTTACTTCAAATAGAGCATTAATTGATGGTAACAAATTTATTTTTCAGATGAAAATGGTCAACTGTTAACCACATATTCAACTAGGACAAGCATATTTTCAAAATGAGAAAAAGAATTTATAGATAGAATCATAATCTAAACATGCAATAAAATAAAGGAAACGAAATTTCGGAAAGATTGTCTAAGTTTACATTAGATAAGCGGAATTTATTGATTGATTAGATTATCTAAGGTAGTCTTAAACTAGGAGAGTGGAGATGTGACTCACTGGTTCAAACGACATTTCGTCGTCTATCAAGGTTTGGATAGTCAGCTCTCGCACAACAGGTGTGTGGATCATTACCAGTTGCATGGCAATTCAAGTGGTTGTTGAGTACTAGTGTGAGTATATATGTGTGAATCAGAAGGCTTATTTTGTGACAAAAGAGAATGATAACTAAAGTAGAGTCGAAAATCTACTTCGTAGCGGGACTCGAACTAATGACTGAGAAATAAACAAATGCTATAGGACCTACTATAAATTCGTCTTAGACTTTTATACAGGTAGGTTAATTATTCTGGGTAATGCAATGTGATCTCTGTGGAATTTAGTAAATGAGCAACCAGGTGACATGTAAAATCAGTTATATCGAATGATAATTGTCAGATTTCAGCCTCCAATTAGCCACGCACGCAGAGAAGAAAATTCCTCTCAACCTATATATACTACTTATTAATTGGCATAAGTAGTTGGACATCCCTGACATTTGGTTGATATTCATCACTTCTTAAGCGGATACATCCTACAAAACACTGATCAGTAACAATGAACAGATGAAAAATTACCTCATAAGACGTTATGCTTATAATAAAGGCATAAATCTATCAAAATAATTCTGTTCCCCTGGTGTTGGGATGATTTACAAACGTAAGCCAAAATGTATACAACATATATAGCATAACATGAAGAATCTTTTCAAAAAAGCATGATTTGCTACAAAATAAAGTAATTCAAAAATTAACACTTTGTACCCAGGATAATAATTAGAAGCTTTCCTGAATTAAACACTACAAAATTTTAAACGTGATTCGTTACTGTTCGAAAGTTATAAGTGGCACACATGCATAACTTTCTTTAAAAATAAGCCTTAAAGGATGCAAATTCTACCTAACTTATCATATCAGCGGTAGAATGCTCGCCAACTATGCATGTGGTCTGGGGTTCGATTCCCAGCCAGAACACTCCTTTAACTCGCTAAGCCAGTATAATAAGACCGGTAAAGAAGGAACATTGGGCATGAACAACCCCACCCTGTAAAAATAAACATCACTGCTACTGAAAGCTAAAAGCTCTAGCTTGAAGCCCTATGTTTCACTGGGAACATAAAGGAATATAATAATAATGGTAAAGGCTGACAATTAAAATCCTCTACCTCTTAGCCACTAAAAACTCAGCTTCTATCATATATATATATATATATATATATATATTGAAGATATCCAAATAAACAGAACACAACAATAATAATGCACACTCATATGCATCATAAAGCATAACTTATAAGTTAAAAAGTACAACATTTCAGAACACAAGATTTCTCCATAAAAGCATATTCTATAGATTTCACACACAGGGATTAGCTTAAGAAAATGTTCCTACTTCAAATGATTTTTAATGGGCATTAGTTGCTGATGACATATAAGGATAAATAAATACATTTTATATTTCGTTCCTTTGTGTTCCGAGTGGAACATAGGGCTTCAAGATTGAGGCCTTGAAGTTTCAGTAGTATTGGTACTGTGGATTAAGGAATGAGGCTGCTAGCCTCACGCTCAGTCTTCCGTCTTTATCGGCTAAGAGAGGCTTAGGAGTCCTTCGGCCGGGAATCGGAGCCTAGACCACGTATGTGGTCACTGAACCAGTGACGCACAAGGATCAACAAATGATATACAATTATTAGTTATGTAGCAACTAGTGACAATAAACTAGGTAAATACGACTAATCGTATTTATTTAAACGTAAAATCAAAATGTTCAGAAGATTGATAATTAAACAGTTTACTCCTATAAATCAAATATCTAATACAATCTAATTCTTAAAAGCTCAATACTTCTAAATCCAAGTTCAAGACGTTTAGGCTCGTCAAATAATTGTCAGTTTATTGAAACATAAAGAACCATTATTCTCTAATTTCTAGATATAAAGCAGAAGGCTGTTACAATAAAGTATTTCATCATTATTCACGAAATAACTTCAGAGTTAAAGAACCATTGAAAACCAAGAAGTACTCGACAACTGTTTTTTCCTTGCTTCGGACTCTTCAGCAGCATGCACTCACAACTCTACCAGGGATAGAAGTCAGGGCCTTAAGGCTACAAGGCAGGTTCGTATACCATTAAGCCACTTGGACGAAATCCAAATATGAAGACGGTTTTATGTATTTGTATCATCATTACATACTACTTATATTTCTGTTAGACTAGTAAACCGATAGAAACTGGTATATTTAATTCAAGGTTACAAATCGGGTATTATCAAATAAATAAATAAACAAATAAAATGTCTCCTTTATAGCCAATTAATCTATTACTAAGAAATGATTACATGTATTTGAATATGTTCTACTTGAAAAAATACTTCTAAGCAGTGTATATGTTACGACATTAGGAAAGTTGTCAATGCATTTAGACAGTTGTGGACACTAATTTGATTGGGATAATGTCGAAATTTTAAATGGAGGAAACACCAGGGAATTTCTAGAAAACCTGGTACTCAAATGAATCAGCCAGCGATTAACAAACATATTGATATAGACCAAATTAACCAGCTAATAAAAATTAAATCATGTGACAAGAAAGTTCAAATTCCATGTCAATAAAAATATGATCAATACACATGAAAATCAACTACCAGTCACAAAGATGGTAGCCAGGAGACACAATTAT